TTGGAATAAATGCAAGAGAACATGCGGAAAACCAGGGTTCTTTAAATACTTGAAAAATCTGCCTGTAACACGGTAAATGTTACTACTGAATGCCCATAAAAGAAGTTACAAAGAAGACTGGAGCTTTGGCCTAATACAGTCCTACGCTGTATGTTTTTTCTTTTTCAGGGAATAAAATCAAGTAAATAAGGTAATGCTAAGCGATATACAGAACTGGCCAGAATTTACAAGCTGAAATCAATGTTGCAAGGCTATTTCAATAACATTACAGTTCAGGAGATGAGTTATTTACTACGGTTAGCGCAAGACAGCAGTGGTTTTTTAATTATTATTTTTTTGTTTGTTTTTTGTGTGGACACTTGGGAAAGGATTCATGTCTAGATGTATAGTTTGATGTCCAGGTGAAAACGGTCGGCTGTGCTCCCCAAAAGCCCGGGCACCTTGGTACCTTCAGGGGACTGATCCGTATTCTCTCCAGCTCTTGCTTCTCCATGAAGGCGATCTGAGGTTGAATATATAGACCATGAGAAGTTGAGGTACTCGATTAACGACAGCTGTGGACAGAAAGCCGAGCTGGGGACGTCGAGGCAGAGCTGGCTGGGAGCACGGCGCTAACATATCAGCGTGGGAAGGGAGTAGTAGTGAAAAACGAATGAGTACCGATCGTTTTGTTCCCTGGCCAAAGCGGGGAGAAAAGAGAAAGATTGAAGTTGGCCAGAAACATAGCAATGTGTTTTTTATTATTGTTTCTTTCTTCCTTAAAAAAAAAAAAAAGACTTTTTGGGTGCCCGCAAGCACAAAAGGGCTAAATAAGCTGGCGTAAGTTATTTTCTGGATGTTGTTTACCTGTTGCTTGCCTTTGGTAAGAGCACGGTATCTTTCTCCTGGTAATCGCAGTCTGTAAATCCTTCCCTTGAGGAAGTCCAGCACCAGGAAACCTAGATCTGAGCGCTGACGTTGCCTGAAACTGGAATTCGAATCCAGTTTTGAGTTTCAGAGCTGGCCTGGTAGCTGCGTTTTGTGCTGAACCTTAATCTGTGGTTGAACGTTGGTGGAAGAAACGTGGAGACCTATATGCACGGGGCTGTAGTTATGCCAGTGTGGTCGTAGTGGGTATTTTTCAGAGGTGCAACTGCTGCTGTTAAATATGGGCACTGCTTCTGCTGAGCTCGTCGCATCGAACAAGGAGTTGCCTTGGTGCACCTTTGTGGTTGAAGCCCCATCTTTTCTCCTACTCCAGAGGTTTGTGTGCATACACACACACACACACTTGCGGGTGAGAGGACACAGTGGGTGAGCGTAACTTGGGCCAGCAGAACCCAAGGTGCGTCAATGCAGCTGAATTAAAAGCCCATCACTGTAACCAAGCAAACAGAGAATGTGTTTGGGAACGTGGCCTGGACTCAGGTGCTTCAGGACTCTACAGAAGGGGTTTTGTGGTGAACGTTACTGCTGAAACGTAGCTAAGCAAGGAAGATGCCAGGCTGTATGACTTGCTGGGAGAAATTGGTGTCATGCCGTAGAGAGCTGAGGATCTGGCCGTAAGTGAATGAATAACAACAAGCGATCAACAACTGCTTCTTGCCGAGGATGTGAGGCAGATTGCCAGCAATGAGCCCGACGGCCGCCCAGGGTCACGTCACGAGAGCACGTGGGCAGCAAGCAGACTCGGGGCCCGCAGTCTGCACGCGCAGCCCTGTTCTTTCTTGCTCGTAAGCCCACAGACGTGCTTTGACCTTAGCCGGCAGGGATCAAGGGGCATCGGGCTGTGGCATGTTGCCACCTTTCTCTGGACGCAACGTCGCTATTTGCCATCTCTCCCGTCGTCAGTGCTGGCCGGAGGCTCGAGAGGAGCCCAAGCCCCAATTTCTCTCGTGGTATTTTTTGGAAATAGATATTTTTTTGTAATGGGCTTTGCTCATTGTTTATTACCGAGGCTGTTTTCGTGCAAACGGGGGTCACTGTTTGTTGGTTCACCTGCTCCTTCAACTCATGCCTCATCTGCACACCTAATCCTCTGCTCCTCATAGCCCCCTTGGTTGCTATGGAAATGATAAAGTGTTACGAAGGAGGCAGGGTGATAACTTAAACGCATGGCTGGTGGTACCTTTTAGGCTTTCTCCCTCATGGGAAAGAGAAACTGATAACGGGGATTCGTTTGTATTACTGTAGTTTTGTCTAAAGCTTTAATTATAAGCTCTTCGGAGCCTGGATGCAGCACTTCTCTCTCCGCATGCTTGGAGACTGTGAGTGTTGCATCTCTAAAGGAGATTAGGAGAAATGAGTCCAAATTAATCAGTGTAAGTAAGGTATGCATCAGTTTCTTTTTAAGAGGCTGAAGGTTACGTTTTCTGACTCGCACAGCTTCGCCATGGCAGGTCCACCCTGATGGGAACCCGCTGCAGAGCCAGCTGTATCGCTAGGGCCCCAGCTCAGCAGCTGCAAGTGGTATCAGTGAGGCAGCTTTGCATTTACATCAAGAGAATTACTCCAAAGAGGCATTTTGATCATTAAATTTAAAAATTGATGCCCTCAGAAATAAAGGGAGAAGAAGGCAGAAGATGCTAATTTGTGCTCAGCATCTGCATATGGTAATGGGTGGTGGTTTCCTTAGGACTAAGCATCCTGTTATGTACCTGAGAGAGGGAAAAAATGACTTATTCTGAGTTTTCAGCATTTTGCCAAGTTTATTGTCAGAATCACGTGTTTGCTTTAAAAGCTGCCAGAAAGTCTCTAGTTCATACTGTCCATCAGAGCCTGTTTGCTGCCAATGTAGCTCAGTTTTAGCATGTACTAAACTTTGGTTTAATTATCCATGACTTTCACCGGGGAGGCTGGCCTACGTGTTACATAATCTGGGACCATCAAAGTTGACTTTGAGTCCCCCGTGGCCAGGTACCGTGGAGTCACCCTGACGGTTCGGGCTGGAGCAGCGGTGCTGGTCGGTGGCCTGGGCAGACACCTGCCCACTGAAACCCGCCACGACTTGTCGCCCTTTGGGTCGTCCCTGAGAAATGGTTTGAGGGTGGTGAAAGCCAGCAGAAACCTTTCTCGCGCCTGGAAGTGTAAACTCTTAAGGAGAGGAAAAAGATGAGGCTGTTTAATTAGCTAAAGATATAGTCGGAAGGGCCCCATGTGCTGGGGATTGCTAGAAAAGGTCGGACCGGGGCTCTATAACATGAGATTCTCTTTCTGGCAGTAGCTGTTTGAAGATGCTTCAAGGAAAGACGTTCAAAACTGTGCGGCGGGCATAGTCTTCTCCTCTGTAGCAAACGTGACTTAGAGATTGGGTTAAATCCTGAATGTGAGGATTATATCACTCCTAAA